CAATTAAAATCGTTTTCAAATTTTCTGGGTTATTGCATTATTCATTTGCCATTAGTACGTCCACGTTAATGTTTGCGATGAGTCTGTCGTTTACGAACTGACAAACTAAAGTGAAGTCGCATGATTGTATATTTCACTGCTCCTTCTGAGAAAGCAGGGTCAGATCTTTTGGTCATATTGTATGGCCTATGAATAAAAGCTGACTAGGCCAGCATAAATATGGATCATGTACATGGATCATCAGCTTTCTTGACCCAATGCTGCATGAAGGTCTCTCCATAGGTTCACCAACAATTTGTAGTTTTTGCAATTTTCATCCATCTTAGTCGAACGAAGATAATCGCATTCTGCCATCGATCTAGCGCTCTTACTGTAATTTCGCTATGGTCGGTTACTCTGATATAGCTATTTTCGTTGCAACTTGTCATATTGATTGCCAATTTAATTTTTTACTAAAGCAAGGACTTCGTAGACTCTTGTTTCTGCTCTTATCCATTAATTTCTAATTAACTTCCTATCTTTTCTTGTTATTCTCAAAACAGATCTTTCCATGCTGCGTCAGGTGATCTGCTGTATTTGAATAGCTTTCATGCTTCAAGTATCACTAGAAGCACACATTGATCGAAAACTTTTTGTTTCAAGCACAAGGGAAGTTTCCCTAATCAGAACTATTTTAGTTTTTCAAAACTGCTTCATGCCAATTTTACTCTTCTGTTCATTTCACAGAAGTCGGTTATATGTTGTAGGTATGAGTTGTCATCTAAATAGAAATGGCTTTGGATCGTTTTAAGCATAAGTCCGTGACTTCCATGAATGAGGGCGGAAAGTGGGGGGGGGGCAACGAATAATGTCGACAATGTCTCGATGGTCAAATGCTGTAACAGCGTTGCTGGAAGTTATCATTGTTTTGCCATCTATCTGAATAGCAACTGACATTGTTCAGTTGTTTTTTTCAGTTTTATTATTCTTGAATATAATAATGAAGATGCCGATTTTTAAACGCAGTATATCAAATGTGTAGTAACGCAGTATGGATCGCACTGACTGATAGTTACGAGGTACCAGGTATTCTTACAGTGTGTCAGTCGGGATTATCCTGAATTCATGCACTGACGTTTAACAGAATAGAATAATCGTTGAATAGAGGTGATTTGGAAGAAATCAAGCCAGTTTTGCGCACTGAAAGGCATTAATAATATCATGATTACCTCCTTTAACCCTCAGATTATTTGAAAATGCGATCTGTCTTTGGAATGAAGGAACATCCATTCAGCTCTGTGATGAGGCTTGATGAATTCTGATCGAGTTAATCGGTGACGAGCACTGTGATGGCAATATTGCTGTATGGGCTGCTGTGAGCAGCTCTTGACCGAAGAACAGTATCGTTACTGACGTAGCCCTCATTTTGACAGTTAGCATTGTTTATGTTGCTTAAATTTTGTATCTTTCCTTTTACCGTCAAGCGGTTATCTCCAGCTTCTCTTATGCACGTCGCTAAACTCATTGAGGAGGGGGTATAAACACGGTATGATATAAAAAAATGCTTTTTCTGAAAATTCAGTTCGATTCTGCAACGGACATTATAGATTGTAAAGCGTTTTTTTAGAATTTCGATGCATCACTTCATCCCTAGAAATAATGCACCGAGTTACTCTGACCGAGCGCCAACAGGCTGTGATAGCAACACATTTGCTTTGTCATAAATTCTGAATGTCAGTCATCCTTTGGAGAGGGTAATCACCATACTGCAGAATTTCGTCGTGCGTAGTCTGAAGGTAGTTTTACATATACATTTAACTCATATACATACATACATAACACACATACATAAGTGACTGCTCTTTCGTCGTTATTAACTAGTATTACCATTCCTATTTTCGATGGCCACGTTCGCCAGCCTCCTGATTTGTCTTTGCAACCTTCCATAAGTTTTCTTAGCTCATCGTCCCGTATGAGCAAAAATATTCCTGTTTTGACGCTTGCAGCCCCATGGGTACCGGTCTATTATTGCTCACTCACATCTGCCGATCATCAGTCAGTCCTGTGATTTTGTTCGGGGTAGTCCAACCCTCGAGCTGCGTGCGATGACTGGTTGTGACTGTTTGTCCTTTCAATTTCTTCTCATCTTATTAAATAATTAAGTTTCACTCTTATGCTTGCTGTCATAGACTTCGGTGCAGACTTTGAAGAGGAGCATGTTTCGTCTGTGTAGATTTGTTGCCAGATTATGAAGGTTTCTGTCAATCCACTCTGCTCACAGTGGAATTCTCCCGTGGCCATTCTGCTGGAGACTTACAGACAAACATAGCAACATTTGGAAGAGGCAGATTATAGAACGGTATGATGCATTCGACTCCAAAGGTTTTGGCGTAGCAGTTCTAATGCCACTCGCGCACTACGCGTGATAATTACAATTGAAAATGTTTCACCTTATTCTGCTGATATGCCAGTGGGCTACTTTCGTTATTGGCTACTTTTCACAATAAGAATGAAAGCTTAGCTTGACTATGCTAATTATTAAAAATCGGTAAATACATAATTAAGTTGTATCGTTAAGATTAAGTTTGTAGATGGGAACACGATTTCGTTTCTGGCTACTACCGTTTCAGCCCACTTCCATGTTAACAGCATAATCATTTGTTTTCATTCCATTTGCTTATGAGTGTTTGTTGAACTTCGAGATTACTATTATGTTTAAAATGCTCTGTGAAGGGGTTGATTGGAAACAAGGACATAGAACTTGATCTGACCTCTTTCCAGTTGTATGAAGGCAATTTATGTGTGAATGTGATGAGTAAATAAGTAAGTAGATAGGAAGGTAAGTGTATAAAATTGAATAACCAAGTAACTCAGTAGGGCAGTGTGTAAGCAAGTGGCCGGTTGTGTAAACATGCAAGTAAACAACTAATTCGGTGAGTACTTGATGAAGCACT